TGTGTAATTATCCTTTTGATTTCATTAGGGTCTGTTGTAATGTCCCCTCTTTCATCCCTCATTCTTGCTATTAAAATTTGTTTCTTCCTTTCTTCGGTTAGGTTTGCCAGTGATCTGTTGATTCCATTTATCCTTTCAAAGAATCTATTTTTAGCAGCATTATTTTTTTCCATAGTTTTCTCACTCCTGAATCTCAGCCCTGATTTTTATTATTTCTTTTCTTTTGCTATTAGTAGGACTCTCCTGCTGACTCTGCTCTAGTTGTAAATTTTGTGCCAGCATATCAATCATGAGTCTCTCTTCCTTTCTCAGCTGTGAATGTATTGCTATGAAACTTACTCTGATAACTGCCTTTGCTGTGTCCCATAAGTTTTGGTACATCGTGTTCTAGAAATTTCCTCTCTGATCTGTGCCAGTACGCACTCTTTTGCAATAGAGAGTTATTCATCCTCCAATTGTTTGCTCTTGTTTTCTTAGTCTTCCTTTTGTTGATTAGAGCAGGGTAGTGTGAAATTTTACAGTAGGAATCATTGAAATATACAAAGAGTTAAGATTGAGCTAAAGTTTTGATTATTTCTTATTTTAATTGAGGATAAGGTTTTTCTTTAATGTTTTATAAAATACTTACTTTTAAATCAAGCAAAATGCAATTGTATTTTATTAAGTAATTATATTAAGAGTAATTCTGGCTTATGTCAATAAATGCTACTTTCTTTATCAACATGGTAAGCCGATTTTTCAGAATTTGTGTCATATTTATGGGATGATGTAAAGATGTAATCCTAAAACCACTGTAAATTCAATTTCTTCCATTAAATATGATTCTTCCATTTACAGAAAACACTGTTGTTAGCTTCCATCATCACTTATCAAGTTACAAGACCAATTATTTCAGAAGAGATGCCATCACTTAAAACATTTAATTTTAAAAATAATGCCTGACACATCTGTATAAATGTTCATATGCATTATTTTTCTTTAGGTTGAGGCATGGAACTAATTTTATTTCATTATTCGAATCAATTCTTAAATAAACAGACACATATATAAAATAAAGATAAATTATACTAAGAATCAACCATGACGTTTTAGAATTTAAAATGAAAGGCACGTTGTTGCCGTTAGATGCAGTTGAGTCCATTCTGATTCACGGTGACCAATGCACGACAGAACAAAGCACTGCTTCCCTGCACCATCTTCACTCGTTTGAGCCCATCTGTGCATCCACTGTGCCCGTCCACCTTGGTGCAGATCTTCTTGATATGGAGGGAAATAGCAAGCAGTATTCTAGTTTCTGCTGCAGATAAAACAGAAAGACCAGCAGCCAGATAGCTGGATGGTAAATTTAGCACCTTAGTGCTTTAACAGAATGGTCCACTATTCTAGGAAGATGTGTCCTCAATGAGACCAGCTCACTGGGTCTTGCAGTTTAATTTTAGAGAGTATATACATAATTGTATACATCATAAGATCAATAAAAGGTAACTTCATCCTCATCAGTAAAGATGTTTTCCAGTATCTAAATGATATAACTTCTATGTTCAGTGAAAATTTAAATATACTGGTACAGATAGGAACTGGAAACACAGGGAATTCAGGAGAGATAAACCCCTCAGGACCAGTAATGAAAGTGGCGATACCAGGAGCATGGAGGAAAGGTGGGGAGAAAGGGGGAACC